AACTTTCCCCTACCAAATATAGATGCCTTGGTCGACAACACTGTGGGGCACGAGATTTTGTCATTCATGGACGATTTCTCAAGTTACAACCAGATCCTTATGACAGAAGAAGACCAGACCAAAACATCGTTCATAACGCAATGGGAAACCACCTACTACTGTGTCATGCCCTTTAGCCTATTCATGTTTGGATACTTGGAGATGCCTATCCTGGAATCAACATCTCCTGGAATATGAGTGTTAGCTGTTTGGATAGTATTTTATAAGAAACTTAAAAGATGGTTATCCATTATTTGGCTTGCATTAATAATATTGTAATATAATATTATTATCTAATATTACAGTCTTATCAGTGTGATATACTATATACAATATTAATACAATAATATATTAATAATAGAGTAGTAAACAATGATAAAAATATATTAATAAACATCATAATATTGTACATTAATTTGCATAATAGCAATATATCGTAGCGGTAGCAGCAACGGTTTTATTATTAGTTTGGTGGATTACACATTTCCATGTTTTTACCTCAAAACAGATATTCACATAAATATTGAAATCCCATCTCTAAATGGTATCCAAATTGTGGAAAGGGAAATTGTTTCATGCGGGTTGGACCGTATTTCTACATATGCAGTCCAGAAAGTGTAAAGCATCCATCTTAAAGATGGATGCCAGTAGGTGTTCCATCTAAAAACAATGAAAATTAACAGTCCAAATGCTTTCTTACTACAATTATTATTTTTAGTTTTTTAAATTTATTTATTGTTTCATATTCACGATCTCTATGTTAGAGATTACATGTTCTTAAAATTTAAGTCTTAAAATCCATCTCAAAAATAGATTTATTAAGAAGCCTGCATTTCTATATTTGCGGGCTTGGGCGTATAGAAACCGGTCCTTGTGGAAATGCCTAGTCATTATGGTATCAAAACGGCTTAAAATGAAATAGATATCTTAATTGAAGAGGACAAATAAGAAAAAAGCTCAAGCTTAATTGGTTAGCGCTTATTCTTATCAGGGTTGGGAGCCTCTCCTCACTGACTCATCCAATTACTTACGCCAAAAAAAAAAAAAAAAAAAAGAGAACAAATAATTCAAAGAACACAAAAGCCTATACTTTGAAACTAAGTTAGACAACAAACAAACCCATGTGAAATAAAAGTTTTAAAGAGTGGGGAGAAGAAAAAGTAGAAGGGTTGGTTAAGGAAAGGAAATCCCAATAACTTCCTCTGCCCCACAAAACCCAATAATTAATGCAAGGTTACTTTCCTAAGAAGCAAGGCATATAATATTAGTATGGTCCACCACTTCTTCTATGACTTTGCCTTGCCTTCGAATCCAGTCTTTCATGAAAAAGGAAACACTATCCATTACAGGAACATTCTGAAAAGTAAAAAAGATAAAACCATTAAGAACCAGATTCTTCATCATCGTTATTTGTCGCACACATTGTGAGATCATTTGAGAGAATAGTAAGCATAGTTTGTGACTTTATAACATTAACATGCTTTTTTTTAGAAGCGATTGCGAGGATAAAAAATTTGATATGGTTCATTCAGATGATGAATTGTGAATGTCCCTGGGTAGACTAGGCCGTGTAGGAAAACACAACCGGGAACGGAAACGAGAAATGGGCAGGGTCTGGGTAACCTCGAACCGGTCCGGATAACCAACTGTGGTCATGCAGGTAGTGGCTAGGCAACAAAGTGTTTTAAAAATAAAAAAAATACAAAAAAAATCAAAGTTTTGAAAAATATATTTAAAGTAAAATTAAACAAAACACATGAGGTGAAAAAATAGAATTTAAAAAAGGAAAAGTTTATATAGAGCTGAGGCTCTAAACAATCAAATTAGAGCCTACTTTATAATTTTTACTAGAAGAGGTTGTTTTGATGCCCAAATATCCTCAAATTGATCATCTCGCCATCAAGATGAATGGACATAAGAAAAAAAATGGATTTCAAGCTTTGGAAATGATGTATTTTGTAACGCATTTTTGAATTGTTGATTTTCAAGGTTTCATGGATCTGTCGATCTACACTATTTTTGAAGCTTTAAACTTTATAAATAAAAATGAAAATATATTTTTAAGCTATCACAAATATTTATAATATTGAAACCACATTCCTCGACACTATTTGAAGGTAGGCTCTAATTTGATTGTTTAGAGCCTAGGCGCTATACAAACTGCACCGTTTTAAAAAATCAATTTGTGACAAGGAGTATTTTAGAAATAATCTAAAAAGATGAGAAAATGTTGCGGCCAAAATACTTTCCAATCTTTGCCGAAATGATAAAAACATATAAAAATACATTATGAATAAATTTATTATTTTTTATATTTTTTAATAATTTTTTGTGATTTGTTTTTAACTTGTGAACTTAACCACCACAGCTGGCTTAACGAGACCCGCCATGGCCCACTTTTGGGTAACCCGGCCGGTTTGGCTAACACTGAGACAAGGACAGCCCGATTTATCTTGAGGAAACTAACACAATACCACTGGTACTGACATAATTGGAACTTGGTACTAAATTGTGCGGTCTGAAATCCCCATATTTGAACGTTCCATTACCTTATATAACTGTAACACGTTTTCATGGAAACTGCTTTTTGAGGAGTGTCTTTAAATGTACGTTTCATTACTTAACATCCAATAAGTACCACTGTCTTCTACTTTTATGGTTTTTGACTCATGAAGAAAGAGGTCAAGTAAATCCCTCTTCTTGAAGGTTTTTGTCATCATTAAATTTTCATTTCGGATGAAAAGTTTTGAGCACCATGATTTTGATCAATTATTTAGAAATTTAGCCCCTTTTAATTGGAGATATATATAAAGAGACTATTTACTTTTAATCTAAAGAGGTCACAATCACTCTTGTCCGTCAGTTCTCAAATTGAATATTCTGAATATCATTAACTAGAGTCAAAGTTCAATAACAAATTAAAAAATTCTTGAAGTTTGTGTCACACTCCAAGCCATCCAATTTAACATATAATGGATAGTAGTAGTTGTGATCTCTTTCTAACAAAAATAAGTGGTCTCATAGTATACAATCCTACCATAATTTTGGCCTACTAAACATACCATCTAATATATTAGAATCACAATGTATCTTGTCAAACCAATCAATGATTTGGATATATTCCAAGATTTCAATTATAGAAGTTGGCAACCTTGCAGGATGCTATGTGATCGTCCTTGTTTCGGTCTCCCTTTTGGGTAGTGCAGTGGTAGGAATCGAACTTGACAAGCAGGGTTGTAGTTTTTGACACCTTAATAATCAAGCCTAATTCCAATTCCTGCTCTGGTGAGCTTTTTTTCAATTTGAAAGGGACTCCATTGAGTGATCCCAACCATTAGAAGGTTGAGGTCCTCGTCATGTACATTGTAGCAAACAATCTTTACCTTTCTTAGAGAAACTTATTTATAAACTAGATTGGAGGAAAAAAGAAAGAAACCTTAGGGGGAAAAACATTCGACACAGATTATAGAGAATATTGATCATGGATAAGATGAAGATCCAAATGCGTTCTTTCTTGTCCTTTTTCGGCTACCCCAACTTCATTGGTTATGGACTTCTGGCATCGAAGCAGCAACACCACGCCCAAAGTTCGAATCCCTTTGTGGTCAGACCCCAAAACAAGGACTTTAGATTGTCCCTACACATTATTTCAAAGTTCTATATCCTACTGTACCAATGTGGGCATAAATAGCAGCATAGACCATTTGAGATCGATTGCTGGGGAGTGTCCTTCTCTGCTCCAAGTCTATCTGTAAATTTTATGGAGTTTGAGCATAGGATTAAAGGGCCCTAAAAATCCATACTTTTAACACCAGAAGGCTGAGAGATAGTTTATATCCAGGTTCTTTTAAGTTAGCTTTCAAAAGCCCGGTTAGGGCTTTAAAATGATCGAAAGTACGACTCATAATTTTACAGCCCTAAAATAGGGCAATTTTGTCAAATCATGAAGTACTGACACAACTGCCCTATTCTAAGGCTGTAAAATTATAAGCTATACTTTTTTTATTTATTATTAGTGAAAATCAGGTGGGGACTTTTTCCCCAACTGATTTAACCAACGTGGTTCTTCTACTACACAGGGAACTTGTCCAACTCAATGGGAAGTTGCCAATTCTATCAATGGCCGAAGCAATTCTATCAATGGAATTGGCAATCTTGGTTAGAGAGCTGGGATTCCCAATTTTTTATAACTTTTATTTTTTAAAATTTTTTACCATGGAAAATCATGGGATCGACAATTCTTGATCTAGATTTGGTACAGTGGAGGGCCGATCCAATACCCATATTGGGTTTTTAAGCGCTAGTAAAGACTAACCTAGTAATGTCAAGGACAATCCTTATCTCACCACTTACCTACCCTATAAAGGAAAAAAAAAAAAAAAAGAAAAAGAGAAAGACTGTCTGCATGGTACAAGTACTAAAAAGTCAGAAACGTCACTTATAGATAAGGGTGCGGTTTGTAGAGAGCCTAGGCTCTAAACAATAAAATTAGAGCCTACCTTCAAATGGTATCGAAAAATGTACTTTCAATACTGAAAATCTTTGTGATAGCATTAAAATATATTTTCATCTTCATTCGTAAAGTTCAACGCTTCAAAAATGGTGTTGATCTATAAAAACTTGAAAATTGACGGTCCCAAAATACGTTACAAAATATACTATTTTCAAAACTTGAAATCCATTTTTTTCTCATGTCCATGCATCTTGATATCGAGATGATCAATTTGATGATATTTGGGTATCAAAACAACTACTTCTAATGAAAATTTTGAGGTACGCTCAAATTTGATTGTTTAGAGCCTCGGCTCTATATAAACTTTTCCCTATAGATAATGTCAAATATATTTTCCATTAATACGAGAGAATGTGAGTAGCCTAAATCCCCATTCCATATAGTTTTATTTATTCTTTAACATTGTTGGTGACAGAGAACATTGGAAAAAAAAATTTTGCAATGAAAATTAATCACATGGAATGGTAGATCTTATTTGCTAAGCAAAGCTATTCTTTCTCGAGAGAATGTCATTTTCAGGGAATTGTTCCCATGGAATTCTTTTTGAAGCCTTTGAAACCTGCTCCAGACATCTAGTTATTAATGAAAAATACATTAATCAGTAAAAAATTTAGAAAGCCAAATAAGACATAAAAATTTGAAAGAGAGAGAAGAAGAAGCTCGCATCTAAGGGAAAAACAATAGCTCCCCCAGTGGAGAATGTTAACACGAGTATGACGAAGACCCAATCTTCTCCAATGCATCAGACACACTCTTCATCCTTGGTCGAGCTTCCGGCTCTGCTTCTGTGCATGTCAAAGCAACATGAAATGCAGCAAGAACCTCCTTCTTGGCATGAACTTCCCGAAGCAATGCCGGATCCACAATCTCCGAGAGTGCCATCTCCTCTTCAAAAGCCTTCCTCACCCAAGAAACCAACTCCTCTCCTGTGGCTGCCCATTGAGCTTCTGGTGACCTTCCAGTAAGCATCTCCAAGAGAACTACACCAAAAGAGTAAACATCCCACTTTTGGGCAGGCCGAGCCCCAACAATTCGAGCCTCCGGGGCTTTATAGCAATCGGTGAAGCTCTTTGAGGTGCCTGCAGTCGTGCCTGACCAATCTCCACCTTTTGCAGAGACAGACGGGGTCCTTGCATATGGGAGGACGCTGCCAAGGTAGCCCCCAGAAATGTTGGCATTGGGATTTCCGGTGATTCCGAAAAGGCGGCTAAGGCCGAAATCGGAGATATATGGGTTGAGGTTGGAATCAAGAAGGATATTGGAGGGTTTGATATCACCATGGACATACTTTCGTGGGCTACAGTCATGCAGGTGGGCAAGCCCCCTGGCAGTGCCCTTCGCTATCTTGAGCCTGACAGGCCATGGGAGGTTTGCGGGAGCCTGGCCGGAACGACCTGCAATAATTTAGGTGAAATTCAATTCAGAAAAGTCCCCAACCAATGGGCACCAAAGTAATTTACATCTAAGGGTGGCAACAAACTGGGCTGCCCTAGCCAGGCCCAGCCTTGATAGATCCTAAGAGATCCTGGCCCAAGCCCAGCCCTACCCCTATCAAAACTGGCCTGGGCCGGGCCAAATACAATAAAAGTAAACAAAAAAACTAATTTGCTATAGTTTGTGGTCTATGCCCTTAGTTTTTAAGGCTGGTGTGACCAAGTCGAGCCGGGCTATTCGACCCATTGTGAGCCCTATTTATATCTAAAAGCAAAATGCAAAAGAAAAAACAAACAGTTTGTTACATGGTCCCAACTGTCCTTTCTCAATAATGGAGAACAAAATGCATTGTTCCTCCGTTTAGCCGGACAATGACAAACATGAGGGAGGAAAGGTTCTTTTCGATCTTCCATATTGAGAAGGAACGGTGATGACAACATGATGGCACCCTAACCGATCAGGTAATCCTAACCCGGATTGACTGATCTTGGGTTCAACTACCAAAGAAACCAAATCATTTAACAACATTGAGAACCGGGGCTATTGCAAGTGGGGTTCCATGGACCCCGATCGCCCCCACATTGATTTCAAACCTTAGGTTCTAATCACGCAGTATAACTACAATGAAAGCGCTGATAAAGCTGATGGACGACATGCATTTGCGTACACCGGAAGCCAGAATCAAATGCAAGGCGTCCCACAATGAGTACTTCCATATAAAATGTTTAAATCGAGAGGTTCAGATTTCACATATACATGCCTCGTGGGATCCGAACCGTCAAACGAAAGTCAAAGCGTTAATAAATCGTGTGAAGAAAAAGGAAAAGTTGGTGGAACTGGCGGGACCACGGTTGTTAGCAACCGCGGAAGACACCTTTACGAGGGTATTATTCGAATTTGATAATGATGATCATCACTTCATGCTCGTGTAGTGTCCTTATCAAAACGGCTTCAAATAGTACGTATCACTTCGATCTAAGTACAATTGGCAGGTCAAGCTTTTGATAATCCACCGAAAGCTTCTGATTTTGCCACCCAAAATATGCTTCTGTATTCTTTTGTTTTAACAATGAAGAAAAAAGATGGACGTTGTTCCACCACCCGATTTATTGGGTGAGCTAAAAAAATGTACTACCGTTCATGCTGGTGGAGTCATTGCCAAATATCAAAATTATCGAAGTTCAAAAAGTGAAAAATTGTTTCATGTAGGCTAGAGCGCATTTTTACGGTAAGTGGTCCAGACGTATAAAATATCCATGCTAAAGATGGATGCAAATAGGTGATTCATCTAAAAATAAGTGTAATTAATCATCCAAATATTTTTTTAATATAAATATTATTTTTATTTTTCAATTATTATTATTTTCATATTCACGATCTACATGTTAAAGATTATATATTCTCTAAAACTTAAGATCAAATTATATTTTAAAAATATATTTATTGGCAAGTCTGCATTTCTACAATATGCAGACCGGCCAAATAGAAACCGTGTCCTTAAAAACATTGATGATTTAGATTAAAACCAACCGATTTGGATCGAATCAGTCAGATTGATCTAAATCTCGCTAAATATTAGGAACCGGGTAGTTCCAACCACAAACCTTATGATTTGGATTTCTTTGTACATAGAGGTCACAATCATTTTTTGTCTCATAAATTTCAAAATAAGTGATTGTAAACGTGTCATTGAATACACACAAAGCTCCAAAAAAAAAAAATTTTCGGACTTCGTGACTCGCCCCAAGCCATCCAATTTGACACATAATGAATAAGATTCTGACCTCCATGTACAAAAGCTAAATGACCTCTTTGTAAACAATCCCATAAATTTGATGATACAACAAGGCAACATTCATCTTTGATCAACATTTGACAAACAGGGTGTTCCACAAGGTTTGAACCAATTCCACATCTAATTGCCACAAGTTATAATCTTATATACGTTTCCAACAAAAAAAACCCCGTGTACTCTCGCGACCTACCCTTTGCTTATTGTCTTATGCTATAACCTCTAAAGCTCGAGCTAAAAAGTTTGTTGCATCTCATAGGAGCATACGGTACAGTACCTCACTTGGGTTACCGGGGACAATTTCCTTTATGTCAATTTTTTGGGAGAATAATAAAGATGATTATTTTTAAAATAAAATTGTAATTTTGATTTTTCAGCAATTTGATCTTTCCTTCCAAATAATGGAAAATTTAGGAACATCATTTTGTAGGCTTATGAAATTTTTTTCTTTTTATATTTATTTTGTATTGTTTATTTTTATTTTTAAGATTGGTCGCTAAGCCAGATCTACCTCCCAAAAATTGAAGTCAATTTTACCAAAGGGAGCAAATAGAAATATGCTCTACAAATCCTTCCCAAATTCATAGAAGCAAAAAGGGGGAGGGGGTGTGTCACAAAATTCTAGATGATTTGTTTGAACTTTAAACATAATTAATCACGCACAAATAATCATCAAATTTGAAATCTGATGGACAAAAGTGATTGTGACCTTTTTGTATCAAAAGTAACATTCTTGTATCAAAAGTAAGATATTTTTTTTTATTCTTTTCCTTTTTAATAACCACAATTGCTTTCGCTCGGACACTATACCTCGGTGTGTGAGATAAATCTAAAATGCATGTGTGCGAGAAGCTCCAAAGTCACCAGTACATATTAATTTACATATAAGTCCAGATTTTACATCTAATAATCAGAAATGGTTATGACCTCTTTGTGCCAAAAACAAAATAGTCTTATTATGCATTTCTCTTTTAGAAACAATCCATATATTCCTAATTTTACGATTATATTTTAATTTCTATATCTCTTACTTTCTTTTAGGAACAATCCATATATTTTTTATTTTACGGTTAGTTTTAATTTTATATATTTTTCTATATCTATGATTGAGTTGAAATTTGATATGTATATACTTCTCATCATTATACACGTATAAAAAATTATTTAAAAAAACTTTAAAATAAATAAAATTATCAAACTAGCTCCAAATAGTACGAGAGTAGTTTGGTAATTTTATTTATTTTGAATTACTTTAAATAATTTTTATATGTATATTATTGTAAAGATTATGGATATACTAAATTTGAGCTCAATTGGGTGCATAAAAAAGACATAAAATTAAAATGCATTTTATATTATTAAAAAATAAGATAAGTTGTAAAATACAAAAAGGAAAAAGTTTATATAAGATCGAAGCCCCTAAACAATTAAATTAAAGCACCTAAAAAATCTACTAGAAAATGTTATTTCAATACCCAAAATCCTCAAATCGATCATCTAGACATGAGACGAAATGGATTTCAAGTATTGGAAATAGTCCATCTTCTAATATATTTCTAAACAATCAATTTTCAAGATTTTTCAAGTGTTAATAGATCTGCCTGATCTACACTTTTTTTTAAGCTTTAAATTTTATAATTAGATATGAAAATAAAATTTCAAGGCATCACTAAGATTTCAGGTACCAAAAAACATATTTGGACACTATTTAAAAGTGCGCCTTACTTTGATTGTTTAGGGCCTCCGACCTATTACAAACCACACTCACACAAAAATACCGAACTATTTTAGAATATAAAAAATAAAACTAGGTATAAAAAATAAAACTATTTTAGAATACAAAAAATACAAAAATGTACCAAACTATTCTAAAATGGAAAATAATTTGATAGAGGGCTGCAGCCCCAACAAAATAAGTAAAATACGTACCTCATAATTCATCAAAATTCACAATTCAAGCATCAGAAAATCATTAAATTGATCATCTCGGCTTGAACATTTTAGTTGAGAAAAGAAAATAGAATTTTAAGTTCTAAAAGTATGTAGATTGTAACAAATTATCTACACCATCCGTTTTACCCTAAATTAAATGTTGATAGATCCACAAGATTCAAATTTTGCTTTCGGTATTAGAAATTAATTTATATCCATCATAGAGATTTATGCTTTTTAGAAGAAGATTTGAGGTGAAGTTTTATTTTGTTTTAGTAAAGCCTTTTAGAATATAAAAAATAAAACTATATTTATACGTCCCTAAATTTCCCATCAGATAAAAGTACTAACTCAATATCGAAAGCAGCACCGCCGCATTCGGTCAGCTCTAAAATAAACAGCCGATCTGTAAAGGAGTGTGTCAAAGCAAAGATGCTTACCAATTTAAAAGACAATAAAAACGAGTCTCCCATTTTTTTTATTTGAAAATGAGGACAAAAGAAAGGGTCCGATGGAGTAAAAGATATAAAAAAAAATTGGATAGAGAGAGAGAGAAAAAGAGAGAAGAGAGAGAAATGGGGGTCAAAGCCTGTAAACGTACCGTGCAGCGCAGTGATGAGATTGCCATTTGATATGTAATCGCAGATGAGAAGCTTCTCGTCGGGCGCCCAATAATACGCCCTCAGCCTCACAACATTGGGGTGCCTAACTTTCCCAATTGCCTCCACCTCCGCCTCGAACTCTTTGAACCGCTGCGCTCCGCCCTCCCCCAGCCGCCTCACCGCCACCGGAATCCCATTCCCCACCACCACTTTGTAAACAATCCCCAAACTACTCTTACCCAGTACATAGGCGCTTGCCCTCAACAATTCCTCCATTTCCACGTGAAACCCTTTATCGATCGCCACTAGTTCGCCTTCTCCTCCCTTCTCTGACCCACTCTCTGTCGCATTGCCCCGATTCTTGCCGCAAAACCACTTTCTGGCGACGTGATTCCGTCCGAGCTTCTCTTTCCCGGTACAGCTACAGCTCCCCTTGTTATCTCTAGCTCTCCAATAGATGAACACGATTAAGCCCCCGATCATCGCCACCCCCAAGGCATCGGCAGCTGAGATCGCGACGATAATGCCGGGCTTCATCCCCTTCTGAATGTGTTTGCTGGCTTCGGGCGTGATAGCTGGAATCCGCTGGCCGGAGATTGGAGAATTGCGGCAAGGGTTCTGCAAGGGGAAGCCGCAGAGGCCTGGGTTGTCTAAGAAGGCCGTTGGACCCTGGTTTGTTAATGAGCCCTGTTGTGGTATTTGTCCGCTCAAATTATTTGATCTCAAGTCTAGGCTCACTGTGATAGGTAACCGACCTAGACTCGCCGGAATCTCGCCGGAAAATTGATTTTCCGATAGATTCATCGTACCTGAAAGTGAGCCCAGGTCACCAAGATCGGGAGGCAGGGAGCCATTGAAGAGATTCGATGAGAGATCGAGCTGGACAAGGTTCTTAAGGCTCGATCCCAGCCCTGCTGGAATCTCGCCCGAAAATCGATTCCCCGCTAGAATCAGGCGCTGGAGTTGCTTGCACTGTGAAATATTCGGCGAGAGGGGGCCGCCAAGATCATTATGAGAGAGGTCCAGGTTTTGGAGACGAGGGGGCCGGCATAAACCAGGGGGCAAGCTCCCAGTAAAATTGTTATCATAGAGAATGAGGCTATGGAGGGAGGAAGCATTGAAGAGCTGAGAAGGCAATGAGCCTGCGAAATGATTTCCATGGAGGTTGAGGCGCCTGAGATAGACTAGGGCACCGAGTTCAGAGGGGATGTAGCCGTGTAAACCCTTGTTCGAAATCGTGATCCCGACCACCCTAGGATCTGAATTTCCCAGGATCGCCATGCACGAGACGCCAGACCAGTGGCACGGCGTGGTATCGTTCTCATTCCAGTCTGAGAAAGCCTGGTTAGGGTCCGAATCCACTGCTGATTTAAGGGCCAAAAGAGAGAGACCATCTGGTGTTAGCGAGCACGAGAATGGAATGAGGAGCAGCAGAGAGAGAAGGGAACAGACAAAGAAGGAGAGCCCCATTTTCTCTCTCTAAAAGAGGGGGAATTTTAGAGAGAGAAAGAGCATGGAAAGTGGCTTTGGAGTTGGAGAGTGGTCTTTTGATTGCAGAGAGGAGAGAGGGAGTGAGGAAGTTTCAGGGGTATTTATGGAGAGGTCGACAGAGCGAGGGAGGGGAATTAGGTGGGTCCCAACCTCCCGCCAAAATATTAAAAATAACCCGTTAAAAAGGCATGCGGTTTGTATAGAGCCGAGGTTCTAAACAATCAAAGTAAATCACACCTTCAAATAGTCTCAAGAAATATTGTTTTAATATTAGAAATTTTTTTGATAACCTTGAAATATTTTTTTATCTTTAATTCTTCAAAAATAGTATATATCGTATAGATCTATAAAACTTGAAAATCTAAAAAATTGACAGTCTAAAAATGTTTTAGAAGATACACTAATTTCAAAACTTGAAATCTATTTTTTCCTCAGGTTAATATATCTTGAGATGAGATGATCCATTTGAACATAAAAAAAACTATCTTCGAGTGAAATTTTTGAGATGGGTTCTAAGTTGATTGTTTAGAGCTTCAGCCCTATAAAACTTTTTCTTTTAAAAAGTGGGAGAATGGGGCAAAACACAAACCTCTTTTCCGTGCTTTAGGAACACTCCTTAATGATGGGGAGGTTCCCTCATCATTTTGATAAAAAAACTACTCTCTCTCTCTCTCTAAACAAAGATATTTTTTCTCTCTAGTTTTTGTAATATCGTTTTAGTTTTTTATTGGGTAGGTGGAACACCATGTGATTTGAGTACACTCTTCGATCCCCATTTCTTTTGCAATTCTTTTTATTTTTTATTTTTAAGGTATTTCCTATGTTCTTTTTTGGTTTTTTTTTTTTTTGTTTATTTGTTAGAGAGAGAGAGGTGTTCCCTAACACGTAACACCCCAACCTTTGCCTTTCTAACAAGGGAAAGCTACAGAGGTACTACCACTCGTTTAAATAACTATTTAATTAGTATTAAGTGACCAAAATCATGTGTACGGGATTTTAAACACTTGAAAAAATTCCTTTTTTTTTTTTTTTGAAACAGTAATTCTTTGAGCCAAGGAGAAATTGTTTTCTAACTTTAACATTGGTGAGGCCCAATTAGGACACAGTGTCTCCCCGTTAATGTTTAGAAAAAGAGATGAGTGGTATCCGTTTTAGTTGGGTAGATAAGCCATTTGGTCTATCCAACGTTTAAAAAATCGGTGACCTGCTCTGAAATCAAGCGATCTGGATCGAAAATTGTCGAGAACATTCCGGATTAAGCAAAAAAATGGGATTTGGGTGGTTTTCAATAGTAGAATCACCGGTCTTTTCTCAGAACCATCAATTTAGATGATTCTTCATTGAGTCCGGCCGATTCTTCACCGAGTCAAGCGAAAGAAAAGGATGAACTGTTTTTCTTCAATTATATTTTAAAAATTTTGAAACAAAAATGACTGATTCCGCCTATTCTTCTGATCCTATCCACCTATTCCCCCGATCCAACACGGATATGGGTATGACCGATTCAAATAAACAATATGTTTTTTCCAACCTTGGGTCTACTGAACCAATCATTAAAAGTTTAAAAATTGAAAAGATATAAGAAATTGTGGGGCTCATTATGGATGTTTTTGTTGTAGTACCGGCCAGACCAACTGTGTCATTGGGGGAACCAGCTAATTCTCAATATTTCATGAGTACTGGTTCGTCCCTTACAATTCTCGATCCAAATTAGAGGGTCCTGATCAGGACAGATTTCGTTTTTAACATTGGACTCCCTGTGATGGCGGTTATTCCGAAAAAGGACCTCCCTTTACCTCCTTCCTCCTCTATTTTGCACTTCATTTGGGCCCAAATCAATCTAAAGTTTTTAATTATTCGAAGTAAAAGACCAAAGCCTCTCTCCCTTTTTCTGAAAGTACAACTAAGGTACCTATCTTCCCTATTTCGCTTGCAGGTTGCCCTGAGATGGCGAAAGATGAGACAACCTGTCTCCAAGGCACAACAAATTTTAAAAGAAAAAGGTTAAAATAAGGCCAAGACTTTATGAAAGAGAGTAAAGTCTGATCTCAAAATTCACGACAAGCTATAGTTCTAGTATTGTAAAACGTTCAAATTGATCATCTCAACTTTGATTATTATGGTTGTGAAATAAAAGTAGGATTCCAAGCCTTAAAACTAGCATATCTCATAGCACATTATCTAAACGGTTCATTTTCAAGGGTTGATCGATTTATAAGTTTTGTACCTCTTCTTAGCTACAAATTTCATAACCAGCGGTGAAAGCATACTTTAGAGCCAATCTTAGGGATTTTCCATGCTCAAAGTATTTTTCAGATGCCATAATGAAGTGAGGCTTTACCTTTTTTCATAAGGCCTAAGCCTTATAGAAATTGCGTCCAATTTAAAATAGTCTTGCTGAGAACATATGAGTTTATGTAGCTATTGGTCAAAATGCATCTTATGGGGCTCAAGTAATACCATTAGCCAATAATAATGAATACACTAATGTGGTAGTTGAAATGGCATATTCACTTGCTACATGCAATACCTCGCCAGAGCAGCTTTGGCTGAATATTTTTTCTTCAAATGGTTCACAGGATAAGCAATATATTGATTTTCTTCCCCAGCAACAAATTCCATGCGGTAGCATTGACCTTTGTAAGGATTAATGTGGGTAAGTCCATTAGTCAACACACTTGTCCATGTATCAATGGAAGATTTTGCAGCTACCCTAGCTCCTACATCCTCACGCGGAACTCCAAGTTAAGAAGTTACCCTCTATTTGTTTTATGAGTTTAATATATCTTTTCCTTTTCTTAACATAGAAATTGATTTTCAGATCGAGTCCAGGTCGCTCATAATCAATTTGGGTCCAAATTCTGGTCCGTGGGCTTTGGACCCCATTGGATCCAGATCCGATCCCACAACATATTTTCGGGTTCAGGCCCAAGTCCAGGCAGACCTGACCTAACCCATTGCCTCCCTAGCAACAGAGGAGAGGAGAGGAGAGGAGAGGAGAGGAGAGGAGAGGGACCGAGAGTCAACGGAAAGCAAAAGGAGATGTGTGCCTGTGACGACGGATCCGATGTTTGCCGATTTCCACCCCTAATCTACTTGGGAAAACAAAATACATGAAACAAAGCTTTTACGAGGAATGATTGGGAGTTGGGGACGCTTTAAATTTAAAGCAGGCTTTATTTGACAAAGTCGTTTAATCTTTTCTCCAAAAGACGCGGTAGTAATCAACAAACCAACTCATTCCCCCCAGATATTTCAGGTAGGCACTCGTGCCATAAATTTTGCTCGTATAGTATATTGCACACATACTGTCAATCCCACCATTAAACGATTGCATGGAGCCCCATTAGAATCGCCACCTGTATACTATCGTTTTTCCAGTCTGATTGTGAGATATCTAATTTATCCCATAAATGACAATTTTCTTTTTTTGGAAACGTATAGAATAAGAGCATTTATTTTTTATATAAGGTTGTAATCATTATTTACCATTATATTTGAAACTTGATGGTTGATGATGTGTCATTATTTAGATACAAAGTTCAAAATAAATTTTTTTGAATGACGTGACATCATCATCATGATTTGTCAAATTTGTTTTTCAAGATCTAATTAGGGTCGGCAATACGAATTCTGACCAATTACTTTGTTCTATTAAAGGTCATACCCTAGTGAGATTATAAGTCGTTATATATTTTTTCACTACTTTCAACCATGTCGTTTTGGTTTATCCCTTGCGAACTAATTCGCACCTACTCATTGGTGTTGTATTAGATCTGTGCCACACATGGCTTGGCAATCTAAGTCTACTCTCTCTGAATTTCACATACTTTTTGGTTATTTAATTTCATATCCAATGACTAGAAGAGATTGGGGTCTCTTTATACCAAAAAGTACAAAAAATGCAGGGTGCGGTTTGTATAGAGCCTAGGTTCTAAACAATCAAATTAGAGCCTACCTTCAAATAGTATTGAGAAATGTAGTTTCACTATTGAAAATCTTTGTGACAGCGTTAAAATATATTTTCATATTTATTTATAAAATTTAAAGCTTAAAAAATAGTATAGATCGACATATCTATTAAAACTTGAAATCTTCAAAATTGATGGTCCAAACATACGTTACAAAATAAATTATTTCCAAAACTTGAAATCCATTTTTTTCTCATGTTCATGTATCTTGATATCGAGATGATCAATTTGAAGATATTTGAGCATCAAAACAACCTCTTCTTGTAAAATTTTTGAAAGAGGTTCAAATTTGATTGTTTAGAGCCTTGGCTCAATATAAACTTTTCCTAAAAATAAATGGCCCAATAATATATAATAAATAACTTAAAAGCTATAATAACCCATATCCTCATTAATTGGACTCGAGCCTAAGCGGCTATTAGTAGACATTAACAGCTCTCTCTCTCTCTAGTTTGATTTCTATTCTGAATTATATATAAAAAATAATTAAGAATCCTATAATATTGTATAGAGACATCTAAAAAGATAAGTTTCTATTATTGAAAAAAGATCTTCTAATTTTTGGATTCTCGGATCCTATGTTTATGAAAATAATCATGTAATAATTTTTACATGGATCGCAAACGTCATATGAAAAAACTCATCCATCTCCCTTTAACCCCAGGGATTAAATGTAATATATGATCCCATGGGAATATGATAAAGGAAAATTTCCAAATTTCCTACTTTCTACTTTTGAATGCTTTCCGAGAAAGGAAGCAAAACAATATTTAAATCTTACTTTTGGGGGTTCCATCTAAAGAGCCTTTGTTGCATGATTTGATGCTCAGTTGGTAGTCCCTTTCAAGTTGTCTGATAGTGCCCTTGGCTTCTATCCTATTTTGGTTGCATTAGTTCAAGAGCGAATGCTCCTCATCTTCTTCGAGTTTCCCCATTCGAAAAACGTTTATATAAGGTCTTGACCTTATACTGTACGGGTAAGGTGCACCTAAAAAACCCACTAGTGGATACTGTACGGGTAAGGTGCCCCTAAAAAACCCACTAGTAAAGGTTCTTTTTATGTTAAAAAAACTCTGAAATTGATCCTCTCGACCTCGAAATTCATAGACATCAAGAAAA